TCTATCTATCTATCTATCTATCTATCTATCTATCTATCTATCTATATATATATATATATATATATATATATATATGCATCTATGTATATATATATATATGTGTGTGTGTGGTGTGTGTGTGTGTGTGTGTGTGTGTGTGTGTGTGTGTGTGTGTGTGTGTGTGTGTGTGTGTGTGTGTGTGTGGGTGTGCGTGTATACAACAATCCCACTATAACTTTCTTTTACCCAATGTTATCCACTGATCCATTTACATAATTTCAGGTGTTCGTATATAACAATAAAGGGCGTATATCTGCGTCTGTTAACGCTTCTACAGTGGAGAGTCGTAAGTATATTTCTTTTTTTTTCATCTAAGTCAGTTTTTGCTTTTAATACGATACGAGGTCACCGTGTCGTAGACGAAAGCAGGAGACAAAACTAAATTGATTATATATCTTTCCCCATAATGATAGTTCTTGCCTTCCCTCCCTGCTTTTCTCTCTCTCCCTCCCTCCCTCCCCCCTCCCTCCCTCCCCTTCTCCTTCCCTCCCTTCCCTCTCTCTCTATCTATCTACCTCTATCTCTCTCTCTATCTATTTATCTGTCTCCTCTCCATCTCATACCATGCTTTATATCATGCATACAGAACCCGGACCGTCCCACGCTGTTACCCAGTCAAGGAATCCACGAGACTTGACGCTCGCTTTTGGAATACCAACCCAAGCCGGTGGTGTCTTGCTCAACTGTTCTCTGTCTGTGCAAGGAACCGATCACAAGTGCACTAAAGATTTCGAGAGAAAGCTTTCTGCTGATGACTGTCCACCTCCCATCGACCAGAGCTCTACAGTCTGTCCGAAGGTAAGTAAGGTCTATCTGTGCTTCCTGTTGCTTGGGAATATTTTGCAGTTGATTATACTACCTTGAGACCACATTTTTAAAAATGATTATTTAAGAGTGTGTGGGATTTTTATCTGGGTGAGTGAAAAAAATATATCTTTATTATTGCAGGAGATTAACGTTGAAGACCACAATTTTCATTATTATTTAATAGTATACGCGACTGAATTTTACATCTCGAAAACTAAGTTTGTGTGAGTGACGAAAGTATCTCTCTCTCTCTCTTTCTCTCTTAATCTGCTATCAGTTCACGGGACTAGCGGAGGGTAAGCTGTACATTGTGGAGACCTGGTGCTGTAATTCCAAGTACTGTGGCAAGAAGACCCTCAGTCAGGTGGCCACCACGCCTTCGCCACCCACCTTGTCTGCCGCGCCTTCTGTCCTGGAGTCGAGTAATACGACCATCACCCTTGCTCTCCCTACCCTGACGCGTCACGGAGATGGAAACAGGTGAGCGGGGGGGGGGGGGGATGCTGGAACGACGGCGAATAATTAGACCTATCACACGACGGTGTTCAAAGTTGTAATTGTGAATAGCGGTACTCGCTTTGCGTAAACGGGGTCATCGTACCTTGTAGAGGGTTGCTTTTTATCCATACTGTTTTCTTCATTATTACAACGTTCAATCCCCCCCCCCCCACACACACACACACAGAATCAGTGCGTCTAGTCATTATAAGCTTGTCAGGCGCTATTAGTTTCAATTTAGCGGCTGTTCACTCGTTCGGGCAACGTGGCAGCATTTCAAATACTATAATTTCAAAGTCATCAGACAAAAAAGCACGAGTCATATAAAACCACGGTTAATGACACCTCATCCTTGACCCATTGACAACCATAACAGCCGTAACAGCCCATACTATACCCCACGCCTAGAATATACCGGGGTTATTTTTGGGTTGGGTCTTTTATGCCGGGGGTATGAGTAAGGCTAGGCCAGTTTATACCCACGAGTATAAAATGGACTAGGCTAGAATATACCCCCCTTGGCCAGAATGAACCCCTGCCATTTTGCATGTAACAAGCATATTAATAATAATGATACTTATAATGATAATTATAATAATTAGTATAATTATAATGATAGTTATTATGATAATAACAATGATAATTATAACAATAATGATTATTATAACAATAATGATAATAATAATTATAATGATAACGGTTTTATTATTATTATCATTATTATTGGCATTATTAAGCTAGAAATGTATAAATTATAAACTTTAAGCTGTTATTATCTCCTGATGAATTCTTTATATCACCTTTATAACACTGCCTGGGGCTTATTTTCAAAAGTAATCTTTGAGGGCTATTATTCGTCATTCTACATTCCTTTTTTTTGGGTCGGAGGAACATATAATGTTTTGTTGACGTTAAAAGTTGACTGGAGACATTGCATAATAATTATGGCTTACGAAAAAAAACATTGCTACTGATCTTAACAAGGGTATATTCTGACCTAGGGGGTATAGCCTATTTTATACCCGTAGGCATGAGGTAGGTTAGGCCTGATGATATATATTATATATATTCTGGGCTATGCTAAACTATACCCGAGTATGTTCTGTGAGGGGGTTAATTTGGGCTGGAAAAAAACAAAATTCACACTAGATTTATT